AACTGTTCAAGTTCATTCAAGTGGCCCACAGGGTAAGGTGGAGTAGGCCCCAAGTTAGACCCAGTGCAGGCTTTGATCATACTGCATAGTAGCATTTTGCAGGTAGCATTTTCTAACAACTAGTCAGTCCCACCACTGTGAAACCTGGGAACTGGGAGTGATGACCCCACGTACCAGGAGGTAGCAGTGGGTTCAAGAGATATCTTTCAATGTTTGCTGCCTTGGATTGTGGCCCCAGGCTTAATGATATACTTTATTCTCTCGAATTATTCACCACTCACGTTATATACAAAGCTCAGCTATAATTTCTTAATTGTTAAAAATTCTCTAAAAAATTAAATTTCTTAATTGTTAAAAATTCTCTAAAAAATTAATGTTCTGAGAAAAAGATATAGCTTGTTTACCTGATTTAAGATTTCCCTGTTTCTTCAGTTTTTTAAACATTCAAACCTTTTAAGATAATTAATCAGCTGTATTTTTTCCCCCAGGAAACAATTCTCAATTTTCTAGAGTTTCTGAAACATGCTATCTAATTTAACACTAAACCTTACGAAGCTCTTATTTTTACCTGACTGAAAGCTGGTAACATTTTAGTTCAAATTAGTGAAGTAATTTTTGTAAAATATTAATTTTAATTCTTATATTTATCAAATAAATTCCTTCATTATACATACATTATTAAAAAAGGATGGATTATTTATTAAAAAAGGATGGACTTCATTAATATATGACTGAGAAACCAAAATTATTTGGAAAATGTAGATCAATTTTTCATTTTATTTTGGAAAGAGATATCAAGGTTTGAAAGCAATGTTTCTCATTCTCTCAGAGGGAATTTGATGACTGGATGAACCGTTTTCTGCCTAATATAGACGTTTTCTCAAGAGGTCAACAGTCCATGTAGGGCCATAAAAATGTGTTGGCAGAACGCATATTTAGTATACATATTTATCCATACTAAATAGTCAGCATATACTTATTCAGTTGTGATGAATGAACCATTTTCAAAAAGGTAATCCTCATAAAATTTGACCAATATATTAAAATCACTGATGCTCAGTCAGTGAAATCGTGAAAAGGAAGAAAGAATATCTTTATGAACTAAAAACCTATTCTGATTTTGAAATGAAAACATCCAAAAATGGAAGAAAGAGAGAAATACAGTAATATAATTTGAGATCAATAATATCCCCACTGGACCAATTGACTTGTCATTTATTTGTCCTCGCAAATATATAATATAGTATCTTGTGTTTCTCATCCATTGCTCTTTCTTTCAAAAGAAGTGTCTCAAAATGATCATCTACTTTTTTTTCTGATGTCCAACAATGGATCTTGAAGCACCTGGGCATGTTTTACCCCAACAGCCAAATCCAAATCTTCTTTTTCTAAGCATCTACTTCATAAAATGCTGCTGCTAAATACAAATTACAAAAGGGCAAGTCATAAATTTCATAATGTGGATGGAGCTGATTAATTCCATGGCACCAGTTGACACATCACGCTCAGTCCAATAGTTAATTTTTCATCCAAACCTTCCCATACAGCAGCCTGAAGTTCAAAGAAAATCATTATAGAGTCATGCCACTCCTCTTATCTTGTGCAGTATAGTTTCTTTAAATACATTTTTTTTTAATTCAGGGTAAAACTCATATATTGTTTTTCATAAAACTTGCCTCTTTGCAGTGTTAAGAGTCCACACTCAGATTTTCAAAATTGTCAATGAAATACTTTGTGCAGTTGTAGAAGTAACAATAATGAAACATACACACAAAAAAAGTTCATAAATCTTCATCTGCTTCTAGTCAAAATACCTCAAAGAGAAAGACGATAGCTCGATAGTTGCAACATCAATTGTTTTATAAAATAAGACAGAGAAATATTTCAATTTTTTATCAGTTCTATAATTTTTCCTTGTATCAGAAAACCAAAGATTTCATTTTTTGTTTTACATTAAGAAACTTGTATATTGTGAATTTTTCTTTGCAGTTCATAGCTGATCATCCAGAAGTTTATCTCGAGACTGAATGGTAAATCTTGAGATAGCCCTGAAATCTCCTTCATTTTTAGAGGTAAGTTATCCAAATCAACTGATCCCTATGCTTGCCAAATCTTAATTTCCACAATATTATGGTTTTTATTATGAATTTCAGTCACTCTTGATTCTCTTTAGGCTCTTTTATTTTATTTGACACGATAAAATATCTACAGTTTGTTGTCATGTACTCCTTCAGTTGGTGTAGTGAAAAAAAATTTTTTTGTGATTCTCCAAGGTATTATGGTTTCTGAAATACTGCAAGGTAGGTACATTTCCATTTCTCAAAACCTTCTTGCACCAAATAGCCAACAGATTGTGAAGATGTGCATCCAACATAATGCAAAACAAAAAATAAATATTTGAAATGGTGCATCTTCTATTTTACAGTATGCCAGGTAGGAATACTTTCTAAACTATGCATACTGAAATTTTTTGGAAAACTTTTCGTCTGAAGCACTATTTGATGGTAACTCGCAATTTTTGGATGGCTTCATTGAAAGTTTTGACAACTTCAAATAACCTTGAGCTTTTTGCAAGACTTTTTATTTGTTTTAGTAGCATGATGCCATTGCTATCCACATTTAAAGAGAGCATTACAAATTCTCCTCATTATTATTAATACTATGACTATTGCAGGAATTGGAACTAGAATTGCAACATTATACCATCAATAAAACAGTGCTACTACTACAAATAAGGAACTACTATGATCATCACTAGAGCTATTCTGAACTACTTCAGCTTCCCTCTACAATATTATTTGTTTACAATATATATTTGTTTACTCAATACAACTCTCTACAATATATATTTGTTTACTCAATACAACTCTCTACAATTTTTTTTTCCCCCCCCCCCTCCTTTTTAGAATCTGGAATATTAATAACTAGCGACCCGCTCCGGCTTCGCACGAGTATAAAATATATAGCCTATGTCACTCACTGAAAAAATGATTAAAATCAATCCAGTAGTTTTGATTTATTCATTACTGCCCGTGGCCCGCACACGTTAAATTTGGAGTAAAACAATTCCCCTTTCCCTATACCATGAAGATTTCCTGCTATATTTGGAATATCTAAATTCATACACTACATTTTACTTTTTACTTATTTACTTTTTACATTTTTACCTATTTATTTTATTTTTACAACAATTAATATATTTGCATTTAACTCTAAATTTTAACCAAGATCTTAACAGAAAATTCCAATCCATAAATTATGGTTTTATTATCTAATTTTATCTAACCTTAATGTACTTGTAATTACAATAAGTGCGATTTAAAATTAACCTTAGAATAGAATATCATTTATTTTAAAACTACTATCATACAATTATTTATCATAACTTACTTATAATTACTGATACGTTGTCGCGCTGTAAAGCACGTTTTTATTAAGTATATTTTTTATTTTTCCTCGCTAGAGAGCTCCGATAATAAACCCATTCGATCGCTGTTAAATTCAAAGTGCTACAGGGAGAACCGCGGCCTCTGACGCACTATTTATAGGCACGCTCCCGCCGCCCCGGTCGGCCGGTACCGCCGCAAATGCTACGTCCCTCAATTTTTAAATCTGTACACCTTTTCTACTTAGTACATTATTTTGATAAATCTCGTAGGGTTCAGCCTGCGTTTGCAATGTAAGTGGAAAAAATGCAATTATTTACAACATCACATTAGAAACCTCAAAAATAACAGTATTTCTCCACTATTTAATGGACGTTAATATACATATAAACCTTCCTCTTCAATCACTCTATCTATTAAAAAAAACCGCATCAAAATCCGTTGCATAGTTTTAAAGATTTAAGCATACATAGGGATATAGGGACAGAGAAAGTGACTTTGTTTTATACTATGTAGTGAAAATATGTTTATATAATTACTCATGCAGGAATTTATAGTATCATAAAACGAAAAATTTAATTGACCGAGGGTAATGCCATGATTGAGGGCATTAAGTAATCACAATAATTTAACAATTTTAACATAATTCAAATTTTCTAAAATAATGCTCAATTACAATAAGTATTATTTTCAGCAATATTCTCTAATGGAAACTAAGAGAAATTTTCCAAAACATTAATCACTAATGCCAAAGTACCAAATTTATCAAATATCAAACCTTATGACTTAAATACATCAAAACACTTTATTACTACGAACTTTACTTACCTGACAAGAAGAATCACAAAAGTCACTACAATATTTTTTATAATATAATAAAAACACACTAAAATAACTAACCAAATATTGTTTTCGACTGTGTCAATGTTACAAGTACAAGTGGAACAACTACAAAAGCAGGAAAATTGTCAAGTCTGTCAAGCCAGACAGCAATTCTGCAACATTTTTTCTTTTCTTTTTTTTTTAAAGGGGGAGGGAGATTAAGAAAAAATAAGTGTAATTTTTTTTTTTTAAATCAAGAATTCTAGTTTAGCTCTGAGGAAACTGCAGCCCTATAGCACATTCCTTCTCCCCTGTATTTGCTGCTGAACTGTTTTAATAAAATTTCTTATTTTATTTTAGAAAGTGATTGAGGCACATTCATACAGTCAAAATTTAAGGAAACAGACCAGCATAACACTAAGACATAAAATTATCTTTATGATTACAGAGCTTTTAACAATACAGTTTAACATAAGCTCAACATTCTTAATTCAGAAAGAACATGCTCAATAAGATCTTCAAACAAAACTTATGTGAAAAGTAATAGCAAAATCTTCCAAGCCTTTTGAGAAAGTCATTTCAAAATGCAGATTTACATATATTTTTGCTATTCTCAAAAACAATATTATCTAGACAACACTAAATTGAAGCATTGCATTTATATATTCTAAAGATGGATGACAGTAAATTTCATGTAACATGTATTTGTTTCTATAGCAATTTTTAAACGATCCTTTTCAGAATTGATTTATCTGATTTAGCTTCCTTTTTTTTAAATTAATTTAAACATACCAACTTCTTGTTTTTGCCATGGTATGCTTGGAGAGTCTAGTGGAAGTGTATCTGATTCAAAAGAAGCTTTGCTCACATCATCATTCCCTTGTACAGTATCTTGTTTCAAAATCTTTCTTTTAGCCTTATCTGTAAACACATTTTCAAATTGATTATAAGCAATTTAACAATAATACAAAGTAATATATTATTTAAACTTTACTTAAAAATACAATGTAAATTTTTAATATATTTATTTAATTAATCATTATTTTTTTAAATGTTGGATGTATCTGCAGATAACCAAATTTTACCATTTGAAATACTGGTCCTAAAAAAGCTTGCTGCAGTGTTTCACAGCATTGACCATATTATAAAACCCATTCTTATTCACGAGAAAGTATTCAAACACAAGTATATCTGATATTTTATGTTAAAATGTACTAGTAACCTGACCACATATTTTTGGAGGTAGGGAAATCAAAGGGCCAATAAAATGTTTGGTACTACTCTTATATGCGCCCTCAGGTCGCCGAATGCGGCGATATGTGTTGTGTGCTGGTTTTTGGCAAGATTGTGTGTTCTGTGATGGTTTTGGGGGCGATGTTAGTTTCTATGGCAACCCTTTTTACGTGGAAACTTTGATTTTACTGTAGTGGTTTCAGTTGCTAGTTGGTTCAGGTATTTAAGTGATTTAATGAATGACGTGTTGGCAAAATTTTAATTGCGTGCCTGGTAACAACTATTTTTTCGGGTGGCTGGAAATTCTACAAGTATTTAAGAGAAGAAGGTTTTGAACATTTATTTGTGAAAGATAGTATTGATTTTGTGGATAGTGAGTCTGGCTCTCACATAAACATGATAGAGATTACATGGCAACATGTTAAAGCTACGTTGCCTACTCATAATCAGAAATGCGATTTTGTGTTTTATTTGGTGGTTCATATATTAATCCATCGTTGTTCTGAAATGGGAGAAGATGCTTTTAACAAATTTGTGGTGGAAATTGTTTTGGTGATGTTTGAAATTGGTAGTTCTGCTGTTCGAAGAAGCATTCATTCATGTAAATTTTATTTTATTCTTGTTCTTATATTTGTAGAATGTTATGTTCATTGTTTTTTTAGTATGAATTTCTGTCATTATTATTGTTTTTTTAAATTGTTTGAAATTTATTTTAGTTTATTTTGTTGATTAGTGCGCAATGCCTAGATTGTGCAATTCGTAGATTTTTTTAAAGTTTAAACAGAACGCTGTGTACATGGTATTCTTTGAAATTTATTGTTGTTATGTTAATTTATTAAAGCAAGTTGTGAATAGTTCATAGACTCCTTTACTGCCTAGATTGTGCAATTTGTAGATTTTTTTTTTTAAGTTTAAACAGAACGCTGTGTACATGGTAGTCTTTGAAATTTATTGTTGTATTGTTAATTTATTTAAGCTAGGTGTGCTTAGTTCTTAGATTCCTTCACTGCATAGATTGTGAAATTCTGTGATTTTTTTTAAGTTACAACATATCCCTGTGTACATGGATTCTTGTCAAATATTTTTGGTTAGTTGCTTTTGCCATCTAAATTTTTCGTTTATGTTTCGAAGTTTAAATTGTGTGTTCAAAATGTGGTTTTTGCATCCACAAAAAGCGCATTTTTTGAGATATTTTAGGATTAAAGTTCGAAATGTAGGCAAAAATTTAGATAGTAATATGGAACCGTAGAGCTTCTCGCCAAATATTTTTGGTGAGAAATTTGTTGCCAAGTGAGGGCATATATAAGAGTAGTTCCAGATGTTTTTATAATCAGACATCTTAAAGTATCAAGGAGAGAGTTGCATGCCAATTTTAAAATTAGGCTAGGCTATATCTTAAATTGGCAATGACTTCAAACAGAAGTACTTCAAAAGAAACTGACATATCCATAACAAAATAATACAGCTTGCAAAAATCCTTTACTTTTCTAACGCATAATTTATGATGAAAAAACGGTTTTATGTTAAGAGTCATAATACAATACCAACTCTGTCAACCCAGTAACCCCCAATTATCCGCGCCTGCCGCACAAAGTTTTTTTTTTTTTTTTTTATTTTTTTTTTTTTTAAACAAGCGTAAAGCAAACAAAATAAAAATTTTCACAAAACTGAGCGAAACGGTAAATTTGCTAACATCGTGCTTATTTATTGCAAAAATATCCCAGGCCTTCTCGGAACCTTACCCCTCTGATGAGTAAGTGATTTCTTACTCACGCTTGCAGTGCCCGCTCCACCCACCGCCCTTTCTCGTCTTAATCTTACTGACACGTTCACTTCCTTTCACTCGCCATTGTTAGTTTAAGCCTAATAGTGTTTGTGAACCGGTCCGGAGTTAAATTTCTTATCTTTTTTTATTGTATTCAGTGCTTGTGCTTTTTTTTGGTTTTGTGTTTTTGTTACTCATTTAAAATGTCAGGAAAATGAAAGAAGGTTGTGTTGACGATAGCGCCAAAACTAGAATTAATTTCCAAAGTAGCAAACAGCGCTACAAGGTAGCATATGGAATTGGATTACAGAATCGCGGAAACAACAGTGCGTGACATTCTAAAGCAAAAAGACAAACTGGTGAACTTTGCATCAATGTCGGATAGTGCTTTCCGCAAAGAAAACGCGAAAAAGTGTGAAAGGGAACTTCTACCTTTGATGAGCTAGACTAGCGACAGAGTTGAGTTACTGAATGAGCTAGACACGGCATTGACAGAGTGGTTAGCTGAAGTACGAAAAGAGGGTACTCCTGTAAATGGTCCTATCATTGCGGCGAAGGCAAAAACCTTTTTTGAGTTGTTAGGCCTGAAAGGAAATTTTGATGCATCTTTTGGCTAGTTGACTCGTTTTAAGCAGCGACATGGAATTCGAGAAATTGGACTTCATTGGGAGAAACTTAGTGGTGACCAACAAGCAGCCGACGATTTCCACCATGAATTTGAAGAATTTGTTTTTAAAAAAAGAGCTATCTTTTGATCAAATTTACAATGCCAACGAATCGGGACTTTTGTCGACAAATCGGGATTCCCACTCGCACTTTAGCATTTGAAAATGAAAGTAAAGCGGCGGGTTATAAAAGCAGCAAAGGAAAGGATCACTATCATGTCTTGCAGTAAGGCTACCTACCGGTGGACATAAACTTAAGACTTGTTGTCATTGGAAAGTTTAAAAAAAAAAAAAAAAAAAAAAAGAGATCTTTCAAAGGCACAAGGATAGAAAATTTACCCGTTGTTTACTTTAACCAAAAAAAAAAAAAAAAAAAAAAGGATGGATGGACCGAAACATTTTTCAAGAATGGTTCGAAAAAATCTTTTTTCTTCAAGTGCAAAACATCTTAAATCGAAAAGCCTGCCTGAAAAAGCTGTGCTATTGATCGACAACACACTTCTTCTCAGTCAGCAACAAGCATGTTAAAGTCTTCTGATGGACAAATTTTTGCAAAGTTTCTCCCCCCCCCCAAACATTACTGAGCTAACCCAACCCATGGAACAAGTAGTCATTGCAACAATGAAGAGAACATACAGAACCAAGCTGCTAATGACCAAAATTGAAGAAGGTTATGATCTGAAAGAGTTTTGGAAACACTACACAATCTTCGACAGCATCTACGATATTGCATCTGCATACAACTCAGTGAAACCGTCAACCCTCATAAATCATGGAGAAAAACTCATGCCTAATGTTGAAGCCAACAACAACCTAACCCCTTTGAGTTGTGAAAGAAGAGAAGGAAGCTATAGAGACGCCCACAGCAACTTTTGCCGATATGGTGAAAACAGTTCCGAGTGGTGAGAACGTTGATGCTGAAAGCATTAACGAGTGGTTGGAGTGTGACGTCAACGAACCTGACTTTGAACGCTTGACAGATGACGAAATTGTGAAGAAAGCAAGGGGAGAGACCGAGAATGAAGGACAGTGAAGTGAAGACGAAGAAGATACTGTGCATATGCAGAAGACTCATGAAGCGGCTTTGCACAAGTCTACAGATTACTGAGCTATTTGGAAGAACAAGACGACACGGAGTTGGCCGAGAAACTTATGCTACGAAAAATGCAATCTCGGATCAAGAGAAAATGCTTCCAAAGCACAAAGCAAACACAAATGACTGATTGTTTCAAAAAGGTTAGTTTTACAGTTATGCTTTTGTAATTACATAATACATTACAGTATTAAAACAGTACATATGTATTAATTTTTCTGTGTATCCTTGACGCCTCTCGTATACAAAACACTTTTCTATTTTCATTAACAAAATGCATTTTAGGATAGTTTTGAGTGATATACTAAAATATTAAGCGTTAGTTAAACATTTCCCGCTGTTTATTTTACATTTTATTGTATATAAAACGATTTTTCAAAGTTGGAATGACTGTTTTTTCTTTTGCTATATCCGTTTTTAGCTTTTTTCGGATTATCTGCGATTTTTGTTATCCGCGGCGGCCGCACCACCCAATTCCGCGGATAATCGGGAGTGTACTGTAAAAAAAAAAATGTTCTAAAATTGCAAAAAACTAAGATGGTTTTTTTCATACCGGTTATGCAAAGACATGCCCAATCAAAGTCTTGTGGAATATGCCAGCAATAGAATAAACTTCGATAAAATTTCTGCACGAATACAACTTTTTCTCACAATATTACTAATGAAAAGAAAGCTGAATAGACAGAAGAACAGCGCTAAAAAATTAGAGCATGGAAATAAATGCTAAAAACTGGAGATATATCATATAATCCTTATTTAATAATAAAAATCTGTATTAATATTTTTAAAGGTGTGTTTTCTTCTTGATATGTTGTCTATATGCATGCCAGCTTAAGATAAACATTTGCAGTTTCGGATTTTTTTTTTTTTTTTTTTTTTTTTTTTTTTTTTTTTAAATGGGCCAAAAATCTGTAACTTGCACTTGATATGTAATTTTCACCATTTTGTTTGTAAAGAAGCTACAAAATTTTACCAAGGTTTTTGACTTAATACACAAGTACCAAAATACTATTTAACCCTCTCAGCGTTAAGGCTGGAAAATTACGTACAGAAGGTTGCCTTCTACATTCATTATACAAGAAAATTTCTGCTAGCTTTTAACGTATCTGATTTCAGTTTGGATGTATATTGGAAGAAAAGGAATCAAGGTACAAAATGAAAGAGTCATTTTTTAATTAAAATCAAGAAAATATCCCTTATTCATGACATTTTGAGGAACTTTGAAATTTCAAGGCTAAACCCGTTAACGCTCAGAGGGTTAAGTCACAGTTTAATAAAAGTTTAATTTACTGCATAATAAACTTAACTTTCTAATAGATCTGTTATGCAGTTAACTAACTAATATAACTACATAATAGATCTATTAGAAAATCTTCAAAGAAATTATCAAGAATTGTAATTCCTATTCTTCCCTATTAATTTTCCTATTCTTCCCATTAATTTCCTTGCAATTTTCAACAACAATATTTGGCACGTGTTAGGGGAAAAATTATAGGGGAAGTAAATTTTTCACACTTTACTCATTTTTTTTCAGTAAACAATTTTATTATTAAATCTAAAAACATTTATGAATATATATATATATTATTGAATTATTTATGAATATTATATGTAATATTATATATGAATATATTATGTAATATTATTTATGAATTATATCTATGTAATATGTATTGAATTATTTATGAATATATATATGTAATATGTATGGTAATATCTTTTATATATTATTATTATTTATGAATATATATATATTATTATTATATAAACATTTATGGATATATATATATATATTTGTATATAGTCAGTATGATATGTTAACATTTATTTTATGAATTTATTCACACTTTTTCCTAAAAATATGTTGCTTTTTATTGTTATGAACAAATTTTATTTAATGATCTTTCTAAATTAAAATTTAAGGACATTTTATTTACTTACTGTATGTTTAACTCATTGTAAATTCTTAATTTATATGCTAAAAAAACAATAAGTCAACTATGGAAAAGCCAAACATATATTTCTCATTAAAAGAAAAAACATTCATTATAAATATTTTATTTTTACCAATGAAGCCTTTAAGAGCTTGGAAAACATCATGATCTTCAGAGGAATGGCTGATTTCAAAATGTTCTTGCAGTTGATCTACAGTCTGGAGATCATATAAGCAAATTGGACATAAAAGGCCTTCTCGTATTTCACCCTCAGAAATTCCAGAGGATGACTTAGCCATGTGGAATGTTTATGCTGCAAAATAAATGTCTATATTTGAGTTCACAAATAGGATGTACAGTGGTTGATGATAATTGAATGCAATAATTCTTTCATGGTAAATAAAAAAATGCAATGTCTATCGTACAATCCATTCAATTTTAAATAATTAGAAACAATACCATGGACATGATTAGATAATTCTGAAATACTAGAATTAACAATTTATTCTGATATAATTCTTCAAAATTTTATTTTTCTTCATCAGTAAGAGTATCTACAAATTACATATTGAATTGAACATAAGGGGAAAAAAACTGCTCAATCAAATTATAATGAAACAAATCACATTTCTATTAATTTTTGCCTTCAGTTAAAACTATGAGATTAATGAAAGCACATCATTCAAATGGATCTATAATTTGGGGACAACAGCCTATTAAAAAAAATTGAGGCATTCTATGATTATCCGTACCCAATCCCATGAATATGAACAAATGACTAAAAAAAAAAAAGGTTTATATGGAAACAAATTAAAACTCGTATTTATTATTGAAGAAAAACTTTACTTCCAACATTTAAAAATTACATTATTATTTTGCTTGTCGTTAATTCTCAAAACCAATAATGGTATCATACAGGTCTACTTAATTACTTCGGTTATTATTATGTAGTCAGGTGAGAAAGATTTCCTAAATGTAAAATAAATGTTTGTAGATCTTAAATACGACTTAAACTATTTTAAAAAAAACTCTTCTCTCAGCTAACAACACTGACAGCAATTGTGAGAAACATATGCAGTAGTATTTAAACATTATGTACCCATATGATGACAAGGTACATATGAATTCTAAAATCTGGTTACTCAATTCAGAAAAGGTCCAGAATTCTAGCTATGTCTGGATCACAATTTCCCTGACAAGAAATGTAAAAAAGCTTTGAAACATAGTACAGTCAAAAGTCTTTAATCCAGACTCGTCGGGACTTCGGCGATTCTGGATTATCGATTTTTCCGGATTATAGATCATCAGTTTAAATCTGGTAAGGTGACATGCAAAAATTATAAAATTAAAAATATGAAACTGTAATTTATGAAATAAAGAACAATTATGATCTAAACGGTATCAAAATTTACAAAAAAAAAAAGCTTAATATTTATTTGTTTACTTTATTAAACATTTCTTTCAACGCAAGCATGCGTAAAGCATACGTTATGCTAGAAAATTGCAACCAGAAAACTATTTGATGTGTATTCGTGATATTCATAATGAATTTGATTTAAATCATATCAAAAACAGGGTACATCGAGATGAAATACTAAATTTAGTAATGAATTATAAGCCGAATAAAATAAAAACATCTGCCCTGAAGATAAGGATAGCGCTGACAGATCAACTTCCAGTTCATTGTGTGCCGCAACGCCCCCCTCCCATACACACAGAGCAGCGAGAAATTGATAAACAGATTTCGGAATGGTTAGAGAAACAAAGGATAGGCCTTTATCCATTTTTTCAACAATTCCACTTTTTGTTTGATGGACATCGGAACATGCTTTCGCTTTGTAGATCCTTTGGCAGCTCCAGAATCGGAAATTCTTTTTGACATAATCGAAAGTTCAAGCTTACTTTTATAAAATTGCTCTAACAGTCTGCAAAAAATAATAAGCCGGATCCAATTCGAAGATTAAGGAACAATGCAATCTGCAACATTAACTGAAATAGATAATTAGATAATTTTAGCTTAGCTTATACCATCCGTTATACATTATACGCACATTAAGCGCATGCATACACGCATATGCGCATGCGTAAAGGTATTACGTGCATGCATGAACGCATATGCACATGCGTGAACGCATTCTGCGTTGACGCATGCACAGAAAGTTTGTAGCTTTGAGGTCCGGATTATAGATCATTCCAGATTATGGGCGTCCGGATTAAAGACTTTTGACTGTATATATTTATAATTTACGAATTAGAGGTATATCTTTCAGGGAAGTTATTCATTGCCAAAAATATCACATTTAATTGGTATAACACTGTTGGAAAGCTTGAAGACAAATCACTTTGAAATGATCTGTGATAATTTCCTGGGTGCTGTCCAAAAGATTAAACCAACTACCCATCAATTGAATTCTTGATCTAGAAGTACTGAGAAAGTGCTCAGATCTGTGGACAGATGATACGGAACTACCATGATGCAATTTGAATTTAAACATTTAATAATGGTCACTGCTAAGTGACAAGAAACACTATAATGAGGCACCAACCAAGTACCTCAAATTCCAAATAAATGACTCTTCTTTGAAGCCTTTTCAAGCTTCACAGAAGTAATGCCAATTCATTACTTGCTCATAAGGCAAAAATTCCTAGTGAATAATCACCTGATAGTTGATAAAGCAATAATTTTAACGTGGATTTCTTTATCTCTACTTTTCTAAAATGTAATGATCTCCTGGTGTTCCACTCCTAGTTTTGATACTTCATTTGTACATTGTATTCGAAAATCCAAGCTCTGTCATCAATTATCACTTTTTTGAAGAAATTCTGATACTTTGCTACCATTTAAAATTAGGCAATCAAAGTGTAGCTTAGACTTTAAGTAAAACTATCAATTTTGAGGTCATTTCGATACAAGTGCAAAAGTCAACTTATTCAGTGGAATCTAAACACTGGCCACACTGGCAGTGTTCAAATGCTTTGTATACTGGGCCATCAGTAGCTCTTTATAAATAATCACACATCTGCACATTAAATTGAATGAAATAATATAAACCTATATTATTTGAGTTATAAATGTATTTCCCGAAATCAATAAGATCTGAATACATAAATACCTTTTGAGAGAGAAAATAATAATGTATACAATTTTTTCATTTTTTTATATTAAGCCTTTTATTACTACTAAGAACATATAGTGAATAATAATTTCAGAATGCAGCAATTCCTTTTTATCTGCATCGTGTGAAGACCATCAGTAAAACTAAATGAGCAATGTGAGCAAAATAAGATGAAAGAATTACATCAAGTGGCTGCCATTACTCGATGAAGAAGGTGAGTCTACTATGAGTAAAAAATATTAAGGATGGAGAATGTCAGATGCATATTTGCATTTTTCTCTGGGAAATGGAAAACATCTAAGACAGTCGATACAGTTGCTATGATGATTGAGAATTTGAATAAAAGAAATTTCTGAATATCATTTTGAGTTGTATCTCCTGCTGAAGAACTGCTCTCCAAGTTAAAGCCTGCTTATTGGTTTTCTGCTCATCTTCACTGCAAATTTGCTGCTGTGATTCCACATCAGAATTCTGAAGGAACTATGTACACAAAATTTCTAGCTTTGGATAAGTGTCTGCCACGACGTAATTACTTGCAAGTTCTTGAAATAGGGAACAAAAGCGAGGCAGTAGATATAAAATATGATCCAGAATGGTTGTGCATTCTTCAGACCACTGATCATTTGTTAAACACATCGAAAACGTGTGTTTATATACCAGGACCTGGAGGTAAAGAAAAATGGGATTATACTCCGTCGAAAAAAGATATACAAAGAATTACCGAACTCTTTAAAGGCAATTTTAAGGTACCAAACAATTTTTCAGTCACAGCTCCAACTTATGATAATTCTCAAACAAGCAATGATTTTACTGTAAAAAATTATATCATGGTGGATATATAAATTTTGAATGAACCAAGGCATGTTGATAATCTGTCTGAGTGCTTTGTTTTGAAGAACCTGGATATGCTGAAGGTGAGTTTTGGCAGCGTGGTATCAGACAGGACTAGCATAATGTTGGTCAATAGATTTATATAAGATGAGATTATTTGAAGTACCCATGTGACTTCTCTGCCAAGAGGTACATAAATTAAGTTATTTACTATATTTTATAATTTTCAGTACACAAAAAAACTTCTACTTTAACACTTTTTTAATACTAACTAGTCAATTAAGTAGCTAAATAGCACAAACAGAATAAAACAACAAATTTCTATACCTGGACTTAAGGTATTACTATTTAAAGTTAGTGCTGAAATTATTACAATGAATTAAATTTTTTACATATGGAATACATTAAATTTCATGTATTTTTTAGTTCATATATTAATTTATATATGTAAGTAAACTACAATACTATTTACAATTTTTTAAAATTTTCTTAGACTAAAACAGAATTATTAGCTGAATGGTTTTACTACATTCTAGAGCTAAGAATATATTCCCTTATTTCTAGTTTTGGTGAAATAACTCGGCAGAAAATTTATGTGATTCTTAAATTTCATTACCTTAAAATTAAGACATAGCTCATTAATGCCTAATTATTATGTTAGTATTTACTGAAATTACTTTGAAAATATCGCAGCAGTTTGAAATAAAGTACTCACTGTGATAATTAATGAACGAAAAATGTATTTGTTACATTTTGCTTCTCATTTGATAAGATATTTTTAAAAAAATTTTAGGAGGATTTTCAATTTGCCTGGTTGACAGTCACGGATTAGCGGTGGAAAATAAAGAAGATTGAAAACCTAGGGTAAACAATTTACATATAAATAATAATATCATTGATAAAAAAATCGCAATATGTCTGAGAAAAAGGAATTAACCATTTAATTCATCACATTAAACAATGAAAAAACTTCCCCAATACCTGGCGGTAGCTCCGTTGTCAAAAGTCACGTTGTTGACAGGTTATCTTCACGAGAAAAAATGGGAGGAGTTACGAGATTCTCTGGGTTGCATGAAGATCTACTAATAACTTTCTCGCCAAGTAATTTGGCGTCATCGGCTCATTCTTATTTCTGGAACTGTGGTTGAAGAGTGGTCTGTTTTTGATCCGTAAGTATGCTAAAATTCTACCATAAATTTTTAATACCTTGTTTTCCAAATTTACACATTTTGCTTGATTAATTTGAAGTTGTTTGTTTTTAGATGTGCGCAATGGCAAATTTCAGGTTATTCGTCAAATAACCAAGGTTTCTATTTCTCTGGTAAGTGTTTGCTTTATATCTTATATTTATTATTAAATATGAAAAGTAATTTTTGCATGCGTATATTTTTTCATGCTTTTATGTGCTGGTAGATTTCTGGCCGATTACCGTGTTTTTAGATAAATGCGCCATTTTCATTTAGGTCGTGTAGAGATTACTGTTTCCATTTTTTTTAAGTAACCACGAAAATTCTAACACATGTAAAAGCTTTACTAGTAAACTTTTGATTGAGGATATTTCAAGTAAATGTGCCATTTTTACTGAATTTGTGTAGAAGTTGCTCTTCGTTATGCCTTTTTTGAGCCAATATGTTAATTAGTTGTATTCTTTTAATGTGTTGTTTTGCAGATTAATGCAGTTTATTTGACAGATGTGTAATGCTGTTTGTTGAAAAATGCATTAGAACCAATGATGGTAAGATCTTGGCCTAGCAAATTGGTAAAATATTACCTGCTCTTAATTACTGAATCATATTGTAGGATAAAATCTGCTGTTTATGTATGAAAATTTGTACTTTATCTCTGATTATGTGGTATATGCCCAGAATTTCATTATTAATGATCGATTCATTAAAATTACTATTTTTAATTGTCTACTTTGTTTTGTGTTGCTGCTGCTCATTCTGCATTTTTTTTTTTTTTTTTTTGAGTAGATATAAAAATTAATTCTTGTTTTTTATTTTTTTTCCCTCCATGTCTCTTTTTATTGTGCTGGTAAATTTTTGAGAAAATTTCAAGTAAATGTGCCGTTTTTACTTAGTTTGCGTAAAAATTGTTCTTCTTTATGCCTCTTTTGAATAAATATGTCAATTCTTGTTTGTATTATTTAATATCTTGTTTTGCATATTAACACAGTTTATTTGACAGATTGAGATGCGATTTGTTGAGAATATTCATTAAAACTAATGCGGGTAAGTTCTTGGCCTAACAGATTGGTAAAAGATTTTCTGATCTTAATTACTGAATTTTTTATTATATTCTAGGATAAAATTCTGCCTTTTTACGTGTGAAAATTTTTATTTTATCTGATTTGTGAAATTTAAGTTCATGATTTAATTTATGTTCTTGTTTTTGTGTTTTTATTTTTTATTTATCTATATCCCAACAATTCACTTTCGAATGTTTGTTAATTATAGAAGCTAATTTTACTTTTTGCTTGCAGTTTTTAACTCTGTACCTTTTATCCAGACATAAATAACATCTGCCTTTTCATTTCTAAACTTAAAATATCGCAGTCGGGAAAAGGTTTCAATTTGAAAGGTAGTGGCTTTTCTAATTGCAAGAATTTCTCTTCAGAATTATAATTAACATAAGCTGTGCATTCTCTGCTAAGTATTTCATTTCTCGAAAAGTCTAGACCTTTTAAATCGCAATTTTAATCTTTAATTTTTTGGATATAATTAAGAACGAATTCATTTGGAAGCAATTTAAAAAATAAAGGCATTAAAATATTTCTGTATAAATCAGTATGGTACTTTTCTGTTTCGCCGGCGCAAATCTCGCCAAGCGCACTTTATTGGCGACAACACATAATACACATAAAAATTGTCAAAAAATGTTAGTTCTAAGATTTTTTTTATTTTAAAGGCATAAACATTTTAATATCGTTTAAAGTTTTGTAAAAAGACAATAAATTTTTTAAAAACGTTAATTTAAGAATTTACTATGCTTTCATGGTACAACATCCTGATTCGCAGGTTCGTATCACGTGAACCCAAGTGATCTCATTTCACGTAATTCTTTGCTCAAACTACGCTACAAAAATCTAATTCTCTCAATGATTCAGTAATTATCTACAATAATTTCAAGTTACATTTTAATATGGAATACAAGTTTAAATGCAAGTATTATTTCAGTTCGTACGAATAGCTTACTTAAGAATTATGTAAAACCCAGTACTTTACTTCGCTAGTGCATTCTCATTAGAATTGATGAATTTAACCCTTGATTTTATCTTTTCTATATTTTCGCCTTCGCTGAGCTGTGTGATTGCATCCTAATTGACTTAAATACCGCGAATGGCATTAGGGCATAAAATTGAACTTTCTGGTAAAAATTCTATGTAATTGTATGCCAGTATTGAAAGAAACAGTGGCGTAGCTAGGGTGGGGCAAGAGGGGACATCTGTCCCCGGGTGCAGCATCCAGGGGGCGCCAAATTAATGCTACGAAATTTTTTAATGAATGTTTTGCATTCTTGACACATAGAAAGGGGCGTAAATTCTTCAGTTGTCCCCGGGCGCTGGAATCCTAGCTACGCCACTGGAAAGAAACAATCAATCTGATAAAAAAAATGGCTGCGATATGTTTTGAAGATGAGCGTAAAAGGTTACCAGCGGAGATATTCCGTTTGGCATCTGTTGTACCATTTTTGGCGACTTTATCGCTTGCGCCGGCAAAATGGAAAAGTACCATCAGTATATTTTTAATGTTGCCACGCAGCGTAAAAGCATCTCTACTTTCTCCCAAAAGTCTTGCTATTTTTCAGATTTCAAGTTTGACTTCTGTGCCTTGTTTTGCAGGTTAACATGCTTTATTTGATTGCATAGAAGTTAACTTTTCGTAAAAAGGCCTTAATTATAGTATCATTATTGGTAAATTCAAGGCTTAAACAGATTGGTGAAATGTTTGACCTTAACTACTGAATTCTGCTAATTATATGGGATATGTCCATAATTTAAATTTTCTTCCTAGTAAATCGATCAATTGGAACAAAATGTGAAATGAATTTATTAAAGAGTATGTCATTTGCTGTATTCATAAATTTCCAGCCATGTGTATCATTTAATAATTATTTGTTTTTAGTATAAAAAAAAAGTAGTAGCAGATGGTCCTACCAATTTGAATAAATATGGAATTTAGTTTTTAATAGTTTTATTTATTTCATGTAATTTATGATATTAAAGTATAAAGGCTATGCTCGTGGATTTTCTAGTAAAGGCAAGTTTCCAATAAATAGCAGTTTTTATTTGAGTATGGTGGTTGAGCTATTTATCCAGCATTTTTTTAGTATGAAGACTAATCATACTAAAAAAACTGAGCATTTCTTTTAAGTAAAAATCAGTGTGTTATAGCTGTGCCAGTATCATTCTGCATAATGACAAAAGTTCATTAAACACGTTAGTGACATTTAAGTGTTGGTTTTGATTATCATGCAATACTGAAACTAAATTCAGAATTTCATTATTGACAAAAACAATTTTTTTTTTTTTTTTTTTAAATTCTGGGTATGAATGTCTGAGCATGTGTGTAAATTTTAAGTCATTCTGGATTTTCTTTCATTTGATTAATTCGTTAAACTTGCTGTTATCTGTAAAAAATTGTCCTATTGAACTTTACCTTTCGTTTTAGTGGCACAGGTGATAATAGATTTTTAACCCCCAAAAAATGAAAATTTCCAAGTGTGGCTATAGAGAGTATGCTCAAGTTCATAAAATAACTTAGTTTTTCTTTATCATCACCTTTCTGTTCGAGAAGCTTTTCTGCAGCATACAGTGACCACCCCTTTTCTATTATAAGAATACAGTCAAAAGTCTTTAATCTGCACGTCCATAATCCGAAATGATCTATAATCTGGACCTCAAAGCTACAAACTTTCTGCGCATGCGCATACGTTTATGAATGTGCGTTTAATGTACAATGGACGGTATAAGCTAAGCTAAAATTATCTAATTCACTTAATGTTGCAAATTGCGTTGTTCCTTAATCTTCTAATTTGATCCGGCTTATTATTTTTTGCAGACTGTTAGAGCAATTTTATAAAAGTAAGCTTGAACTTTAGATTATGTCAAAAAGAATTTCTGATTCTGGAGCTGCCGAAGAATCTACAAAGCGAAAGCATGTTTTTATGTCCATCAAACAAAAAGTGGAATTGCTGCAAAAAATGTATAAAGGCATATCCTTTGTTTCTCTAACCATTCCGAAATCTGTTTATCAATTTTACATCTCTCTGCGGGGGGGGGGGGACATCACGGTGCACAATGATCTGTCAGCACTATCCTTATATTCAGGGCAGATGTTTTTATTTTATTCGGCTTATAATTCCTTACTAAATGTAGTATTTCATCTCAATGTACTCCGTTTTTGATATGATTTAAATCAAATTTCTCGTCATTATATTACGGATACACATCAAATAGTTTTCTGATTGCAATTTTCTAATTTCGACTATGCGTAATGTATTCTTTACGCATGCGCGTTTGAAAGAAATGTTTAATAAAGTAAACAAATAAATAATTTTTATTGTATATTTTAATACCCTTTAGATCATAATTGCTCTTTATTTCATAAATTAAGTTTTCATATTTTTAATTTTATGTTTTCTTCATGCCATCTTACCAGATTTAAATTGATGATCTGTAATCCGGAATTTGAGTCCGGATTAGTGTAGTAATTTTAGAAATTTATCTGAATGTCTCCTGTGGACTTTCATTTAATAGATAACTAAAGCCAGTATGGAAATTAGGACATTTTGATATTGAAGAATAATTCATTGCTGCCTACTCTCCTTTTTTTTAATTTTTAGTCTTAACAAAGGAAAATGTTTCTCAGAAATAAATGGAATGTATTTAATTAATTAAACTTAAATTAGGCAAATTCCATTCCCTCAATCTCTAATGATTTTCAGAATTTTTAAATTCTATTTCATTTGAATTGTACTTGTTACATTTTATTGACGTTATTAAATTTCATTTGGTCAGAGTTGTCTTAATCTGTAGTCATTTCTAAATTTTTATATGAAGATTTAAAAAATGGAATTAGCCAAAGAATATAAGAATTAAATGTTAATATATTTTACAACAGAATTGAATTTCTTTTAATTTGATTTTTCTATTAATTCATTACATTTATTTAGGCGCCTAGAATGTGAACATGGTAAATAAAATGGCAAGTACCCATTCCTCAGTATATTTTGGTGGGGAAAAACTTCTGAAATTTATGTTCAGTTTGTAGTAATATTATTCAGTTAACTTCATATTTGTTTAGGAATTTCACAGGGTGGGTGATCTTCTGTGCAAGATACTGAGAAAATTTTGATATTCTTTATGCTAAGAATAATTTCAAGAATTAATAAATTTCAGTTTTTTTTATATGATAGACTGATTATTCAAAGTAATATACACCAAGGTCACCTTGGATGATCAAGAGCTTGTATCATACATGCATATTAACTGTTATAGGATAGCTATGGACTTTGGTCCTTCAAATTGTTTTATTAATATATATACAGTATTCAAAGAACTACAAAAGGGTGGAATGTAGTAAATAAAACATTTTTGCTTCTGATAGAAGTGTACAACTGACTGAAAAATGTAACAGCCATCATTAAAATTCAACATCATTTGAGAGATCTTTCTTAAGTATAGTACATACTTTTAAAAAATGAAACTGTATATATGAATTTTTGAAATAATGTAACATATTAAAAGAAGATAAATTATGTATTGAAGTGAATTATGCATTCAGTATTCCAATAAATTTTCCATTTTATACATTCTTAAATCAATATAAGAATTATCAGTATTTTTAAAATCATTAGTGTATGTGTGTTTTAGGAAAACTTTGGTTTAAATTCAGGCTTAGATACTAAGAGTTCTGTTTTATGAAGCATAAGTATCTAATATTTGTTTTGCAATTAAGTTGAACTCAAATCATTAAATGTGAATGACATAATAGAAAAAAAAATCAGAGTTATTTTAATGACTGTAATGATGATATGTTATCTCTTATCACAGGAAAATACTTGGTATTTTATTTCAAGAAAAAAAAAAAAAAAACCAGCTGGGATGTTCTGTGGAGCAAGGTTTTTAAATTTTTAAATCCTGTTCCTAGAGCAGACTTGCTAGTTCTTGGTT